ACAGCCCTAGGTTCCAGAGAGGTGCCATATAAGGTACAACATATACAAAGAATTCTGAATTCTGAACACACCGGGTCCCCAGGCTTTGAATGAGCGGTTGGAGCAGTAAAGCATCCCCACACTTATCACAGGTCTGGACCCGAAGGAGGTTGCTGGTCCCAGGAAGGGGTGGGGGTGCTTTGGCTACAGAATTGCCAGAGGAACGGTGCTGCTGATGCTCACAGAGCAGACCCTGTGCTACATGGGGGTGAGTCAGAGACCAGGAGCTGCAGGAACCTCTTTCGCCAGCCCACGGGCCAATGGAGGAATCAAGGGGCACATGAGGGGCTGGAGAGGGAGGAGGATTTCCTGCTTGTGGAGGGACAGCAGGTCGCCTCCCTCCGAAGGACCCTCACCTGCAGAGGTGGTGACCATAGGTCTAACTGTCCTTTTCTGAAGGACCAAAGGCTCCAGATGTGCCATCTGGGGGCAGTCCAGGAAGGTCCAGGCCGAGGGTCCCAGGAGTGTGATTGTGACAGAGGAGCTGGGAGGCACTCATGTTGGAGAGTTCCGTGTCTTCATTGCAGGTCTGGGGCCTCCACTTCCTCACATGCAAATGGGGTGCAAGCCCTGGCTCTCCCTTCACATGCTCCTGCTGGTCTCCAGCGCAGAAAGCCAGAATTCCGCCTTCCCCCAGTGTGGGTCTGCAGAGCAGAAGGGGTTGCAGGGCAGGAGCTGGCATGAGGCACCCAGACTCGAAGGGGCAGGTTTTACAGAAGGGCCACAGGGTGGGATGGTCAGTGGCCCAGGTTTGGACTGGGGGCCATGAGGAGAGGGAGTCGCAATCCAGGCATGGGCGAGGGGACAAGGGAGGTGGGGCAGGGTGTGGGGCGGTGGGCACGGTGCCGGCCAGATGAAAGGGGCGTGGCCCCCAGGTCGCCGGTGCGGGAGTGGGTGGGGGGCACTCCGGTCCCCGCCCCCGCGGGCCGCCCCGGGTCGCGCGTGGGCGAGGCGGGCGCCGATTGGCTGCCGGGTGCGCGGGCGGGGCGGGCGGTGGCGCGCGGAGGGCCGGTCACCCCGCAGCCCGGCCTCGGCCTCGCCGCTCGTCGCCGCGCCCCGCCCGCGCGCCCGCCGCCGCACGTCCCCCGCAGGCGGCCACCATGAGCACAGGCCTGAGGTACAAGAGCAAGCTGGCGACTCCAGGTGAGCCTGGCGCCTGCCAGCGCGCCCGCGCGCGCCTTTGTCCCTGCCGCCTGCCCGTCTCTCACCATGTCTCCGTTTTTCCCCCGCCCGCCGGCCCGGAACCGCCTGGACCCGGACCCCAACCGTACACTGACCCTGACCCAGCAGAAGACAAGCAGGTACGTGCGCTCCGCTGTCCACCCGGCCGGCTGTCACCTATTGTGGTAGCAACGCTGCCAGCGCCCAGGCGCGACCCCGCCCCTGCGGGCGGTCACCCCACCCTGTCGTGATAACCGATTGTCAGCTTGGGCAGTGCTGCAGTGCCTGAGGCTGCGGATGGGAGGAGTGGGCGCCATGACCCAAAGATCTGGCCTCTGACCCTCCCAGCTGGAGTGTGCGCCCCTCCCGGGATGGGGGTAACAGCTACGTGCCCTCCTCCCACTGGCCCAGCACCTGCATCTCAGGCTGACCTGGTCTCAGGCCGTGTGCTGAGGACCTGGAGTAAGGGCACTGGTTATGGCAGGCTACAGGCTGGGGGACCCTGCACCACCCAGGGACCCTGGGGGCAGGGTCTCTGTGTCCACCAGCCAGCAGAGACCCTGAGTAGCCCCACAGGGGAGCCTCTGCCCACCCCACCCCACTCTTCTGCATCTTATATCCTCTTTTCCCCCATACCAATTTGGGTGGGCTGATCTGTGGCCAGGCCTCTTCCCCAGACTGGGAGTCTCCGGGGCCTGGTCTGAGTCATCCCGGAGCCCAGCAAGGGTCTTCCAACCTAGTGGGTACAAATAGGCTTCTCACGCCGAGGGGTTGGCTTGGTCCCCGCCCTCTAGGAATGCAGGACCCCACAAGAGGCTGGCCTGGGCACCCACTGTGAAACCCAGAGGAGGCTGGGGTTAAACGGAGCTGGAAACCTGGAGAGGGGGATGTGGGTGGTTAACCAGGTGGTCTGGGGGCTCTGAAGCATCCCTGCTAGAGCCTCTCTGGCTTGAGAACAGCTATGTTTGGGGGGAGAAAAGAAGGGCCCAACTCTGGCACCAGGGTAGCCCTGCAGGCCTGTCGGGTATGGGGGTTCATACACCAGGCAGATGCTGATGGAACTCTAAAATGCTGGCCCAGAGTAAAGCAGGTGGGCGAGGTGAGGCCCAGCAGGTGGGGTGGGGGCTGGGAGTCACTGGCTGCCTGATGTCAGTCCCTGGCAGGGACACGCCCCACCCTGGGACTCGTGGGGCTCGTGGGGAGGGGCCCCATCAACCTCACCCTGCCAGTGAGGGGCTCCCAAGGGAGCCCAGGCAGGGGAACTGCCTCCCCATCATGAGCAAATGGGACAATGATGCAGAGACACATGCCACCAAGCCATTGTTTTAGGGAGAGAGAGGGAAGGCCTGGGAGACCAGCTCCCACGGCTTCTCCTGGGCCTGCAGTCACTTGGAGCCACTGGGCCCAGCAGTTGCTGCCCAGCACCACCCCGGGGACTTCTCCTGTTGAGGTGTTAGCCGCTTCAGGCCTGTGTGTGCCTCCCCTTCAAAGTCAGCTAGGTGCCAGCCTCACCCATCCCCTGCCCCTGGAAACTGAGGGAGAGGGCACCATGCAACCAGAGGGGGAGGCCCCAGAGCAGGGCCAGGGAGCCAGGTGTTTAGGGAAGGCTTCTGTGGACCTGGGGGGAGCACAACAGGACTTCACTGTTGCCATTGTTGGTGTTACTGAGCCACAGCCCGTTCACACTCTGTGAAAGAGGGTGGGGGGGGGGAGCTCTATTAGGTCTCTGTGCTTCCTCTGCATCTCTGGCACAAGGAGGGCTCTGGTGGCCCTCTGTGCCCCCTCCTCTAATCCCCACCCAGTCTCAGGCAGTGATGGAGGCTCTGTCGGCTCTGGTGACTGCTTCCAGAGCTGACTCGGGCGATTCTAAGAATGGAAATGCCTCGAGAGTCTCAGGCTCCAGGAGGAGGTGGGCACAGCTGTGTGTCTAGGGCTCGGGAAGCGTGAGGAGAATTTGTTGTGCTTCGGTGCCAGAGAAAGGGGGTGGCAGGGCCCCTTCCTCGAGGCTCCCCCAAGGAGTCCACGGACCCTGTCTGGGCACAGTTGGGTGATGGGGCAGGCAAGTTGAGAGCTAGGAGTGAGACTCTCAACCTCCCGACCTATGGCTCCCAGAGGCTGCCTAACCTGGCGGGGGCGGGGGGGGGAATGAGGCATTCTGGGAGCCCCAAGCTCCGTTAGATACCAGGCTGTGCGGAGCTGAGGCTCCCTCTAAGCCTGAGCCCAGACCCAGGTCTGTCTGCCTTTCTGGAGAGGCCCTGGGCCTGAGATGCCAGTCTTCTGAGTTGGTGTTGGGCTGAGGGCCCTGTCTAAAGTGGACTCAGTCCAGAGGCCGCCTGCAGGTCAGCATGGCCTGGAGCGAGGACTGGGGGCCTGTGGCTTCCCCCGTTCTCCACACTCTCCTCTCGGATGAAAGACGCTCCTGTTCCCAGCTGGGGGCCCTCTCCTTCTCCCCAGGTGCCAGCAGCTCCAGGCCCCACAGCAGCACCACAAGCTGGACAAAGGGACAGAGGCTCCTCAACTGGGGTGGGTGGGAAAGAGCTGGGGGCCGCCTGTCCCTACAGACACATGTAGTCTAGGGGCCACATCTCTTCATATCCAGCTCCTTGCCAGACCTCCCTTCCTGTCCAGCTGGTGCTGTCTTGTTCAGATTCTAGTGGGGTACTGCAGGGCATGGTGAGAATCTGGTGGCTCAGGAGACCATTGTGGTCCCTGGGGTGGCCACATGGGGGTAAGGGCTGAGCTGGCTAGAGCTTTCTAGTTCCTGAGTGCCTGGTTCTGTGGGTCAGAGCAGGCAGAGAGGCTCAGGAGTGCCTGCATGAAGGGGGGCCCACTCCACACACCCCCATCCTCTGGCAGGGGCTTTCTGAGGAAAGCCATGGCAACGCATGCATGGCCTTCAGGTTTGTGGAGTGACATGCTGGCTGCAGCTTCCAAGTTTCCAGAGGTAGAGCAGGGTAGGTGGCTAGTGCTCTGACTGTCCCCTTCCTGCTCTAAGTCTCCTTGGGCCTGGGGTGGGCAGGTCCAGGTTGAGGTTGGCTCTGATTCATGAAGAAGGTGGGCTCTGTCCTCGCCCAGTTCCCTGGTATGTCTCTGGGGCCACGCCAGTTAAGTAGCCCCAAACATACAAACAGGCGCACACACGAGAGGGCTGGGACAGTTCAGCCCCAAGCATAGGGGAGGGGGCAGTGCCAGAAGGACTGTGCCCCTGGGTAATTTGGTCTCTGTGACACCGCCGGCAGCTTTCTTGTGGAGTCTGCGAGGAAGGCCCGGTGCACGGGCTGGTCCCGCGTGGGTGCGGCCTCCGGCGCCCTCTGGCGGACGGAAGCTACACCGCACCTCTGGAGGGGCGGGACACCGCGGCCACAGTCTCTCCCCAACACCCCCAACGGCCCGCCAATGGGACCCGGCCTCCCCTTACCCCTCTTTACCCCGGTTGTCCCGACGTCTGGACTGAGGCCGTGGGTCCTGTCACAGACAAGGACGTGGGCTCCCTGTCTGCGCCGAGTCCCCCGACGCCTTTCCTCGGCCCTGCCCTCCGCGACAGCTTTCCGGTGGCTCCGCCCGCGGCCCAATTTCCAGGCGACGGTTTCCCGGCGACAGCGGGCGAGGCGGTCTCTGCGCGGAGCCCCGCCTCTGGTTCGCGTGCAGATCGGGGCCGGCTGTGGCTGCGACGCCGCGCGTCTCAGGGCGGGTCCGGGTCCTCAGAGGCAGGGGGATGGCTCCCGCGGTCTCTGAGGTTGGCGGCACCCCGGGTGAGCCACGTCCGGCCTCCCGGACTCAATTCCCGTGTCCCTAAAACGGGAACGAGAGCAGGGCTTCGAGGCACTACAGCATTTGAACCCCCCCCCCCCACCCCCGAGAACGCTGGGCCCCTGTCGGCCTGACCTGGTCTGGGGTCCGAAGTCCTCAGCAGGGTGTGTGGGGGGTCGCTGCGATGGACTCTCTGGCAGCGCCCCAGGACCGCCTGGTGGAGCAATTGCTGTCGCCGCGGACTCAGGCCCAAAGGCGGCTCAAGGTGTGTGTGGAGAGGGGACAGAATGTGGGTCAGTGTGTGCGCGCCTGCTAGGACCAGGTCCCAAGGCTCTGGGATGTGACAGGGGCGGGCTGTGCCAGGGCCCACAGAGGGTGGGCTCGCGACCCGCTGGCGGGGGAGGCTCTGCGCCGCTATCTATAAATAGCCCCTGCTCCAACGTTGCTGCAGCCAGCCACCCCCGCGGCTGGATCTGGGCCACGGGGGGCCTCCCACCCCCTGGTACCCTCAGGAGGGGTGAGTATTGAGTCCAGGCTTCTCCTTCCTATGAAGGACCTGGGGCATGTCCGAAGGGCCTTGGTTTTGGTGCCTTCTGTCCACCATTCAAGGGAAGATACTGCCTGTGTCTGCGGCAGCTGGACATCTCCCCCTACACACATGCACGCGCGCGCACACACAGACATAGTCTTGGGACCCTCCAAAGCCCCTCGCTGAAGCTAGAGCAAGGGTGCATTCATCAGCCACCCTCTGACCTGCCTGCCCACCTCCAGGCCTTCACCCCCTTTCTGCCATTGAAATGTCCACCTTGGAGATTCTGTCCTCTGCTGCCTCCTTGCCTGAGCTGGGTGGGGGACAGGGCATGGGGCTGCCTAGGAACCCCAGGGTACCTCTGACCTGCTCCACCCCTGCCCGCAGGACATCGACAAGCAGTACGTGGGCTTTGCCACGCTGCCCAACCAGGTGCACCGGAAGTCGGTGAAGAAGGGCTTTGATTTCACGCTCATGGTGGCTGGTGAGTGGGCCAGGCTTCCAGGTGGGGTGGCTGGGGCCACTGGCTGGCCAGGCTCTGCTGTGGGGGCCTGAGACCTAATATGACTCCTTCACTGTACCTGTGGGCAGGTGAGTCGGGCCTGGGGAAGTCCACACTGGTCCACAGCCTCTTCCTCACAGACCTGTACAAGGACCGGAAGCTTCTCAGTGCTGAGGGTAAGTGTACCCCAAGCTTCCTGGCACTGGTTCACCATCCCCTCCTGTGCAACCCCTCAAAGAGTGCCCTTCCAGATCCAGCCACCCTTCTCTCTCCCCACAACATGAGTCTTCTGTTTGGGGCCCAGGAGGTGTGGCCCAAACCACAGGCAGGCTTTGTGATCAGGACCAAAACACTAGGATGGATGAGAAAGGATCCTGGCTGCCCGAGGTAGGGGGTAAGGGGTGAGAGACGCCCCTTCAAGCCATATCTCTTTCCCTGCAGAACGCATCAGCCAGACGGTAGAGATCCTGAAGCACACCGTGGACATCGAGGAGAAGGGAGTCAAGCTAAAGCTGACCATTGTGGACACACCGGGCTTTGGGGATGCTGTGAACAACTCTGAATGGTGAGGAAGGCCTGGCTGGGGAACAGTCCTTGCCCAGGCTGACTCCACCTCCCCTGGCGCCAGCTTGCTGCCTTCACGGCCCAACCTCACACACCTCCTGCCCGCAGCTGGAAGCCCATTACTGACTACGTGGACCAGCAGTTTGAACAGTATTTCCGGGACGAGAGCGGCCTTAACCGCAAGAACATCCAAGACAACCGGGTGCATTGCTGCCTGTACTTTATCTCTCCGTTTGGGCACGGGTGCGTGACTCTGTGGGTTGAGCCCCCACAGCCATTCCCTCCCTGAGCCCCCCTACCCTCTCCCGGCCCTACCATCAACCCCACCAGCCCCTCATCACCCTGGGTGCTCCCTGTAGGCTGCGACCAGTGGATGTGGGTTTCATGAAGGCCCTACACGAGAAGGTGAACATTGTGCCCCTCATTGCCAAGGCTGACTGTCTGGTCCCCAGTGAGATCCGGAAGCTGAAGGAGCGGGTGAGCCTGTGTGGCAGTGGGGCCTGGCCCAGGACTTGGGCTGGAGGGCACCGGGTGTGCTGACCTTGGGCACCACCACACCCAAGGCCCAGGGGACCTTGCCAACCCTTGATCTGACAGCCCTGTCCCACCACAGATCCGGGAGGAGATTGACAAGTTTGGGATCCATGTGTACCAGTTCCCTGAGTGTGACTCAGACGAGGATGAGGACTTCAAGCAGCAGGATCGGGAACTAAAGGTGAGCATACAGTCCGTTGGGCAGAGGCGGGCCAAGTGCCCAGGTCCAACTTGGAGGGTGGATAGGGGTCTTTGGTGTGGGCAGTAGAGTCCTTCACTTAGCCCTAGAGGGCTAGGGTTGCCCAAGTTCCTGCCTGGCTTGTATGTTTGGGTCCCTCATGGTTAGTGAGTCACAGAGCTCTTGCCAGGAGCTAAAGGCACAGCTGCTAGCAAGGCACCATCCTGACCCTGCTCCTCAGTCTCATGAGTCAACAGCAGAAGGGCCTGGCCAGTGGCCACCAGGCTAAGTATCCACTGGCTCCCAGAATTCTGTGCAACAGAGGGTAGGAGTGACTTTGAGTGCCCCAGTAGCTAGAGTGGTTATGACTGAGCCCAAGCTGGGGACAGGGGATCACGAGACCAGGAACAGGGTCAGACAGGCCCTTGACTCAACCAAAGTTAGCAGGGGCATTACTAGGAGGTATAAGCTCAGTCATAGACCTTAAGATGTAAGCTGCACCAGTTCTGGCCTCAGCCAGCAGCAAAGAGGCCATAGGGGGTGGGGGGCAGTGACACCAGGATCTCTTTGGGGAGAGGTCACTGATGGTCATGCTGGAGAGGCTGACCCACCCTGAGTGCCCATGCTCCTCTCCAACCACTAACCCTGCACCCGCACTAATTGGGCGTGAGCCCTTGCACTGGCCCCTCCCCAGGAAAGTGCACCCTTCGCGGTTATCGGCAGCAACACGGTGGTGGAGGCCAAGGGGCAGCGAGTCCGAGGGCGGCTGTACCCATGGGGGATTGTGGAAGGTGAGTCCAGGCATAGGGCACAGCATGCGAGTGGGAAGGCTCCCCTGGGCTGGCATCCCACCCACTGCCCACTCCTGCCCTGCAGTGGAGAACCAGGCACACTGCGATTTCGTGAAGCTGCGCAACATGCTCATCCGCACCCACATGCATGACCTCAAGGACGTGACGTGTGACGTGCACTATGAGAACTACCGCGCGCACTGTATCCAGCAGATGACCAGGTGTGTCATCCCACCCCAAACCTGGACCTGTACCTCACGGCCTCGGGCACATCTCTATGGTCAAGACCTGTCCTGGCTGCCCACCTAGACTGGAACCTTGCCCCAGCCCCCAAATCGGCTTCCCAGCACCTTGTCTCCTCAGCCCAGCCCAGAGGTGTGGGAACTCAGAAGGGCAGCCTTGATAGTGGCAAGATTGGCGGAACTCCCACCAGCACTGTCCCTCTTGTCCAACCTGCAGCAAACTGACCCAGGACAACCGCATGGAGAGCCCCATCCCCATCCTGCCACTGCCCACCCCTGACGCTGAGACGGAGAAGCTTATTAGGATGAAGGATGAGGAGGTTGGTGAGGCATGGGGTGGGGAGTGGTGGAGGCTGAGGGCTGGAGACTGAGCCAGGACCCTCCCATCTCATTTCTCACCCCACCTTCTGTTTTTCCTGCCCCACTCCCCAGTTAAGGCGCATGCAGGAGATGCTGCAGAAGATGAAGCAGCAAATGCAGGACCAGTGACCCAGCCCCAGCTCCACATTGCCATGGATATACTGCCGGTTTTCCGACTGGCCCTTTTCACCCCTGAACCCCAATGGCCTGGACTCGACCCTTTTCCTCTGGATCTCTAACAGGCCTGGTCACAACCCCAATCCCAAGTGACCTAGACCTGGACTGTCCCCGTTCTGACCCGGAGGCACGGGGTCACAGCCTCCAGCCATCCCTAATTTATTCTCAGCATCAGCCCTTCCCTTCATTTGTATCTGTTTCCATGGGGCCTGGGCAACACCCCCCCCCTTTGGCTTTGGGGGAGCAGGAGCTAGGGTGGGCTGTGACTTTTGAGATTTTTACCCTCTACCCCAGAAGGTCACAGCACCCAGACTCCAGGCCCTACTCAGGCAGGAAGGTAAACCAAGGCAGAATAGGGGAGCAGATCCCTGGGGTCTCCAACCTATTCCCCCACCCCAGTGCCACAGCACAGACTTGGGAGCTGTGTTCTCCTGCTCCTGTGGGCCTCCCAGCATACGCTGAGACCTCACCTTATGTGGATGTGGGCCAGCCAGGTCCTCTCTCACCCTGGAGCTCAGCAGGCAGGCCAGGCTGCTGAAGCACTTAGGATCTCTTCAGACCTAAGGAGGCCAGCCCACTACAGGGGAGGGTGACCTAGGGCTGGGATGCTTGTGATAGCCCACACCCCTCCCCCCCAACTTTGGCTTGTGGAGGGATGCAGGAGCAGGGGGCTGTGGGCTGTCCTCTGCAATCCTCATGCCTAGATTGCTGTTCCCTGCCTGTGGCTGGGGGTCCCTTCTCCCCAGCAGCATTGTTGCCCTGGGCTCCCTAGCCCTCCCCCCACTCCCTCCACCCGCATGAACCCTTTCCCAAGCCCCATTCTCCAGTTTTGTTAAGTTGTGAATGCCATCCTGTCCTGGTGACAGGAGAACAATGTTGGTGAATGTTGCTGCGGGTGTCCGAGTGCTCCTTGTGCCCCTGGGAGCGAGTGGGGGGCGGAAGCGTGCATGGCGCTGGCCCTGATGATAGCACTCTATCAGCGGCTGCAGTGCCTGTCACAGCAGCCTTGGGGTTATTTCTGGTGGACAGCTGTGCTGTGGTCTTCTTACCGGGAGCACCGGGGCCTGGCAGGGGCGGGGCAGCCTTATCATCTGGTTCTCCGACAAGCGCTTCCAGCTCCAGAGCAAGGCGGGCCACCATTCTCTCGCCATGGGCTCTGGTAAGTCTGGTGGCTGGGCGAGGCCACTCCCTGAGCAGAGTCGGGTTAGGACGATTTGGGTCAGACTTAGAGGGAACTTCCAGCCCGTGCGCGGGGTGATGGGGTGGCAAGGCTTGCGGGCAACACGGGAGGCAAGTCTCCGGCACTGGAGTCAGACTCCGCGCTCCGGGTGGTGAGGGACCCCAGCCAGGTGCCCAGCAGGCCAGCCGGCTCACCGCCGCGCTTCCTTTCCAGGGCCAGGCCGGGCGCTCAGCCTATTGCTCCTTCTGTTCGCTCTGCCAAGCCGCCCGGCCGCGGGCTGTCCCGCGCCATGTAGCTGCGCCGGTACAGTCGTGGACTGCGGGCGCCGCGGGCTGACGTGGGCCTCGCTGCCAGTCGTTTTCCCACCGGACACAACCGAACTGGTGCTGACGGGCAACAACCTGACCACGCTGCCACTGGGGCTGCTAGACACGGTGCCCAGGCTGCGTAAGGCGCACCTGGGCGACAACCCCTGGCGCTGCGACTGCCGCCTCGTACCACTGCGCGCCTGGCTGGCCGGTCGTCTGGAACGCGGGCTCTACCGCGACCTGCGCTGCGCCGCGCCCCCATCACTGCGCGGCCGCGTACTGTCCTACCTGACCGAGGAAGAGCTTCGTGCCGCCTGCTCGCCTGGCGCGCTCTGCTGGTGGTCGCTGGTGATCCCGTTGGTGCTGCTCGGCCTTGGGCTGCTGCACGCGCTGCTGCTGGCGCTGCTGCTGTGCCGGCTGCGGAGGCTGCGCGCTCGCGCGGCGCATCGCCTGTCGCTGACCGCCCCGCTAGTGGCAGAACCAGCTGGAGACAGCGAATCCTGAGAGGAGCGGACTGGCGCTGAGCAAGGAGGGCCTGCGAGCTCCACAGGACCCTGCCCCAAGGAGCCCTAGCCCTAACCTGGACCCATTCTCCTCCACTCAGGCACCATTTCCCAGGCTGGCCACCCCCTGCAGGCCCTGGCCCACAGGGGCAGATTGCTGCAAGGCCACCCTTATCGCGGCGAGCCCACGCCCCGGATGCTTAGACAGATCCAGGGGACCAACTGCAGCCCATACCCTGTGGGGTCCCTCATGCCAAACTACAGCGCAGAATAAACCCTTCCCCATGTGACCCGTTTTTACACCAAAGACCTGGAAATCCTCCCCCCCAAACCACAGAAAAAGCTCTGAGAACCTATTCAAGGGGACATTCACGCCTTCATACACCCCAAATAACCTTTCCCAGCTACTGACTCTCAGAGAAGTTCAAGAGGGAAGGAAAGCCCAAAGGACAACGGTGCACTGCAGGGTAGTGAGGACGCTGGAGAGCGGGGACACGGGCGAGTTTGGACAACACGTAACAGGACACTGGGGGCAGCGAGGACACTAGGGATTTGGACACAAGACACTGAGGACACTGTGGGGCAGTGAGGACACTGCGGACAGTGCGGAGGCTGGGGAATGAGGACACGGGCGGCAGTGAAAACACAGTGAGGAGGAGGTTACTGGGGAGTGAGAACACTGTTGGGACACAGGACACTGTGGGGACAAGCGAGGACAATTTGGACAGCGAGGACACTCTGGGACAGAGAGGACACTGACTGAGGACTCTGTGGGGCAGTGAGGACGCTGTGTGGACAGCTAGAACGTGGTGGGGACTGAGAACGAACACGGGACACTGAGGACATTGTGGAGCAGTGAGGACGCTGGGGAAGGCAAGTGAGAACACAGGGAGCAGTGAGAACACAGTGGGGACAGTGGGGACTGTGTGGAGCAGGGCGGGCACTGCAGGGCAGTGCTGTGAGAGAGAAGATGCTCTGGGTGGCAGTTTCCGGGGCCAGGGAGGCCGTGAGGTGGCTTTGAGGACAGTTTGGTGTGTGCAGTTTCCCTGGTGGCAGCTGTCGGAGGAGTCGGGATGAACTGGGGATGGTGAGGACGGTCTGGTGGCCCACCTGGAATAGCCTGGACTTCTAGTGAGAAGCTCTGGAGGGCAGGTGGGGTGGGGTCTGAGCCATGCAAGGGGGGTCCATGGAAGGTCCCTGCAGGGGTCAGTGGGCACCAGGGGTTGCAGGGTCTCTGGACTCACGTCCTCCCTTGCCGCCACTCACTGCAGGAAGGCTCCCCTGACTGCGCAGACTAACCCGGGGCTTCTTGGGGCCTTAAGTCAGTCAGGGCCAGGGACTCCACTGTGGGTGCCTCAGTGCAACACAGGCTGCTCCTGGGGCCCCAGGTGCCCAGATGAGCAGCTCATGCGTTGCTACTCCTGCTCAGCTGTGGCCTCTACCTGGCTGCCCTTGTGAATAGTGAGGGCTGCTCTCCGTGGGCCCCAGTGGAGCCTCAGGCCTGGGCCTCAGTCGCCTGGCACAGGAAGGTCCAGACCTCCACTGACCGGGTCGGGGAGGCTGCCGCTGACATGGCCTTTGTCCTGGCCTTTGTAGGACAAGATGGATGACTCTCCGGTTGGGCTGATGCTATCTCGGGGCTACTGGTGCGACGTGAGGCAGGAGCCACCCCTGCCTTTGTAGGCAGGTGCGAGGCATCCGGCTGTGCTTCCAGGCTTATCACCACATCGGAGACGGTGGCTCCTTTGTACAAATGAACTGCCACCCTGCCTTCCCTGGGGGTGGCCCAGCACCCACAAAGCCCCTGGTGGGGTCAGAGGTGATGGTGTTGTCACAGCAAGGTACACAGGCAGCTTCCTAACCTCAGTCCAAATGTGGTTAGGAGGCATCCCCCCGACTTTCCATAGGAAATCAGATCCCAAGATGGGTCTCCTGCTGGGCCCAGAGCTTCCTCCGTGGCTAAGACCAGGCTCCTGGGACCCCCTCTCTCCTTCTCACTGAGGCCCTCAAGGGGACAAATGCAGGGCCCAGGAGAAAGTAACCCTAGAAATCCTAGGTGACACTGGCTCAGAGAAGGAGGCTTCCCTGGGCTGTGGGACAAAGGCCCCAGCTGAGCTGTGGGGAGTGGTTAGCAGGAGCCCAGCTCCACTGGTCACTGCCAGGCTTGAGGGCTCCTGGGCTAGTGCCCAGATAAGAGGGTGGGCATGGGGCACTGAGGGGCAGGATGGAAGAAAGCAGCTGACAATGCAGTGTCATCAGACCTAAGGAATCCCACCTCCCCTCTTGCCAGTTTTCCATGATGTAGACCTGCCCCTGCCCCTTCCAAGGTACTGACCATAGCAGAACACTGGCCTGGCCTTGGTGGCTGACCTTTTCCAGGCCGCCTGGGAGCCCCCGGTCCCAATTCTGACCCTGAGCTGACCCCTTATGCACTGACCCTGGGGCCTCAGTCTCTAAGGAGTGTGGGGAAGTGGAAGGTCCCAACTCAGTGCCCCTGAATGGCCCTGTTCAGGGAAGGAGAGCATAGATCCCTCCCCCCAGACCAGGGGGCTTACTGTGCCCCTTGCCCCAGCATTGTCCTCCATCTCATGGAAAACACACGAATCCCAGGGCCCCTTTCCTACTGACAGGCTGGTCCCTTCTGTGGTGTGACTCCTTCCCAATAGGAACAGGTGGGGGTCCACTGGAAGGCCCTGCACAGCCCTCCCACAGCTCCGGCCCCCAGGCTGGCTGATTCAGGGTCCCTTGCCCTGCAGCCCAAGGGATCTCTGACCACACCTGTGTTCCCCCAGCCTCCCTGCACCCTCTGCTTTTCATCAAGGCCCAGGCTAGGTGTACCTTGCCCCACTAGGCCAGAGTCTCTGAACCTTTCTTTGTCCCTTCCTGCTGTAACTATGTCCACACTATTCAAGGTCTCACTCAAGAATGTCCTCTTCAGAGAGCCTCCCAGCCCTGCCCTGTCCAGACACATGGTGCAGGACACTGCGTCCTGGCCTGTGTCCCTGAGGTCCACCAGGGTCTCAAGCCACATCCCAGGCTTGCATGCAGCTACTTAGTGAGTGACGGGTCAAAGGGTTGGATACAGTAAGCCCCCAACAGGCCAAATGGCAATCCCAGGGCAGACACAGCCCTGACCTAACGCTGGGAACCTCCCGTGTCCTCATCCCTGAAATGGGTGGGTGCTGTTCTGCGCCCCTTTCAGTCCTCACCTCACGCGCCTAGACCCCGAGCAGGCACCAGAGGGCGCTCGCAGTCTGCAGAAACACAGGGGGCGGTGTCACGGTGGGCGCTGGGTGCAGACAGCCAGGATCCAAGGAGAAACAGAGACCAAAAGAGGGAGAACTTACCCAGGCAGGCGGGCGGAGGATCGCCAAAAGGGGCAGGCAGGTGGCACATCCCAGGGGAGCCGAGAGGGATGGGCCGGGGTCCGCTGATAGACGGGGAGGGGTGAGCGTCCCCCTCCGCTCCTTCCCTCCCTGTGCCCCTTTCCTCTTACCCCGCCCCCCCCCCACCCCCGCCCTCAGCTTGCTGACAGCCCATCAACCGGGAAGATAAGGGACCTCTTCCGCCGGGTCGGGGGCGGGGGATGGGGGGTGGTCAGCCCAGGTGTGCCCTCCGCCCTCCCGACGCCTGTTTGCTCCGAAAACACTTATTGAGCCCCTGCTGTGTGCACTGAGGAGGGGGGTGGGGCAAAGAGGCTGCCAGGCGGGCGAGAAGGCGACATTGAGGATCTGGCCTCAGCCCCTTCTGTCTAGGAAGCCCGCCGGGTAGGAGGCCTGGAGCTGGCTCCCCAGAGGAATGGAACAGAGGCCTCGCCACTTCCCGACCAACCTGGTGGTGGGGGAAGGGATGAGGGGGTCCTTCCAAAGTCCTCATCCAGACTGGGGAGGCTATGGGGAGCCTGGGGAGGGGGCTGGCCACTCACTGGGCGGAGACTTGAGTGAGGCGGGCAGAGGAGGCCCTGGGAAGGTCTAGGGGACTGAACCCCTGGCCACGTCGTGGTGGTGGGGGGTGCACCCGCCGACCAGACAGAGCAACAACATTGGGGTGGGTGGTGGAGCCCTGGGGGCCCATAGCTCACTGCTCAGTCTGCGCCCACCCCTGGCGTTTCCGATGGAAGACAGGCAGTGGGTGATAAATCACCAGCTCCCACCCCTACCCACCCAGGCGGTCATGGGGAGGGGGGCTGCATTGGACAGAGACAGAGACGAACCTCAAGACGGAGAGACAATCACAGAGAGAGACAAAGGCAACTATGGCTGGCCAGGCCTCTTTACTCAGGGTGTCTGGCTTCCCACCCCCAGGTGCCCCTCCACCAGGCCCATCTGGAAACCAGCTGAGAGCCACCCTACCCCAGTTGACCCCCAACCAGGATGAGGAGGAGGAGGAGGAGGGAGTGAGCAAGTCCTCAGCGGTCTAATTCCTGTCCACCATAAATCAGCAGGGGGCTTTCCCCTCACTGCCCCCAGGCTGAGGGGGGTCTTTGGGGTCACTGGTCCTGGTGACCGGGCCTGGCCTTAGCCATGTCCCTTCCTCCTTAAACATCCCCTTGGGCATCCACTGGCCCCGAACTCTCTTTCCCAGCACAGTCACATACCCAGAGCTGACTGTACCCAGTGCTGTCTACACTGGGTGCTCCCTTCACTGCCCTCATCTTCTGGGTCTGCAGGGACACGTCCCAGACGACCTCTAGGAGACCTGTGTGCTGGCTCTGCGGGGACTGGTCGTCAGTGGTCCTCCCCAGTGAAGCCTTCCCAGGGGCCCACTTTGCCTCAGGGGAAATGCTGTCTGCCCTTCCTTCCGACCTGCCTTCTTGTCACCACCCCCACCGACCGGGTGCTGAGGCCAACTGAACAAAGGGTGCAGAGAGATGGGCCAAGTGGGGTCCCCTCCACAGGTGTGCCCGCCCCTAGGGGTCAGTACTTAGTGGACAAGGCTTGAGAGAGCCTATGGAGGTGCTCTCAGGACCTGCAGGATGAGCTCAGCATCCCCGCTGTCCAGAGCCCCAGACCCAGCCAGGTAGTGATCGCTGCCCCACTGGTCTGTCCCACAGACAACCCCTCAGGGCTGATGTGGCAGAGGTAAGGCCACCTATACACAAGGAAACACACGGTGTCTGTCATGAGACCTTTCGTGGCTAGTCTCAAAGAGTGGTGGGAGCGGGGGTGGGGACTTGCTTGTCTTGAAAGACTTTTGGAGCTCTTGGAATCCGGTGCCTGAGAGAAGCACTGAGTGTCCTGTGGGCTGGCCTGGGCATTGTCATGTGGATGGTCCCCTTGACCCTCAGAAC